TGCTGTGTGGCCCCGGGTGGGGCATGTGCTACAGTTCAACTTGACATGAAGTGGGTCCCCTTCCATGTGGCCCTAGGGCTGGCACGCCAAAAGACAAGCTTCAAAATGAGCTACAGCATCACTCAGCCACTTCCAAGGATGGCACAGGGACAGACTGGGCAGGCAACAGAGCTCTGCTGAGGCAGATTGTGCTCTGTAGGGTCAGCCCTTGCACCACAACTCCTCCACTGTAGTCATGGCCAGTCTTCTCAACCAATGAGCCTGAGGATCAATAGCTCCCACTGACATGCAGACAGCAACTAAGGCTCAACTACAAAAGGAGGGTACACACAACACAGACAAGGGACACATCTAGAGTACACAGGTCAGGTGACCAGGAAGACTGTGCCACTGAGCTCCACAGCACACCTACTACATAAGACCACTCTACTAAGACCAGGAGACATAGCAGCCCTACCTAATACATAGAAACAAACACAGGGAGGCAGCCAAAATAGGGAGACAAAGAAACATGTCCCAAATAAAAGAACACAACAAAGCTCCAGAAAAAGAACTAAACAAAAGAGAGACAAGCGATCTACCAGATGCAGAGTTCCAAACACTAGTTATAAGGCTGCTCAGTGATCTCAGGGGGAACTTTGACAAAGAGATAGGAAACACAAAAATGGAGATAGAAAACATAAAAAAGAACCAGTCAGAAATAAAGGATACAATAACAGAAATGAAGGATACATTACAGAGCAGCAACAGCAGAATAGATGGAGCACAGGATCGAATCAGCAATTTAGAAGATAAGGTAGCAGAAAATACCTAATCAGAACAGCAAAAAGAAAAAAGAATCTAAAAAAAATAAGGACAGTTTAAGGGGCCTCTGGGACAACATCAAGTGTATCAACATTCAAATTATGCGGGTACCAGAGAAAGCAAGGAATTAAAACCTATTTGAAGAAATAATGAAGGAAAACTTCCCTAACCTGGTGAAAGAAATAGATATACAAGCCCAGGAAGTGCAGAAATTCTGAAACACATGTACCCAAAGAGACCCACACCAAGACACATCATAATTAAAATGCCAAAGGTTAAAGACAAAGAGAACCTTAAAAGCGTCAAGAGAACAGCAGATAGTTACCTAAGGGAGTTCCCATAATACTGTCAGCTGATTTTGCAACAGAAACTTTGCAGGCTAGAAGGGACTGGCACAAAATATTCAACGTGATGAAAAGTAAGGACCTACAACCAAGGGTTGAAGCTTTGTTATCATCTAGAATTCAAGGACAGATAAAGAGCTTCCCAGACAAGAAAAAGCTAAAGGAGTTCATGATCACCAACCCTGTATTACAAAGACCCTTAGAGGGGCTTCCTTAAGATGAAATGAATAAATAAATAAAATAATAAATATGAATAATAAAATGTCAATAACTACATACCTATCAACAATTACTTTCAATGTAAAAGGATTGAATGAACCAATCAAAATATGGTGGGGGGGGGAGCTGAATGGATAAGGAAATACTACCCTTCCATATGCATATGACGCCTACAAGAGACTCAATTCAGATTGAAAGACACACACAGACTGACAGTAAAGAGATGGAAAAAGATATTTCATGAAAATGGAAACAAACAAACAAAAAAGCTGGAGTAGCAATACTTATACCAGACAAAATAGACTTTAAAACAAAGGCTATAACAAGAGACAAAGAAGGACCCAGTAATCCCACTTCTGGGTATTTATCCAAAGAAATCTAAAATGCTACTTCGAGGAGACGTGCTCATCCATATGCTCATTGCAGCATTATTTACAATAGCCAAGATATGAAGGCAGCCTGTGTATCCCTGAATGGATAAAAAAAGAGGTCATACATATATACAATGAAATATTAGCCACAAAAACAAATGAAATCTTGCCTTCTGCGACAACATGGATGGAACTAGAAGGTATTGTGCTGAATGTAGTAAGTCAGACAATGGAAAACAATGTCATATGATTTCACTTATAAGTAGAATCTAAAGAACAAAAACAAACAAACAAACAAAAACAGAAACAAACCCCTAGATGCAGAGAATATTTTGATGGTTGCCAGATGGAAAGAGGGTAGGGGATGGGTGAAAAAGGGGAAGGGATTAAGAAGTATAAATTGGTTGTTACACAGTAGTTATGGGGATATAGAGTACAGCATAAGGAATATAGTCAATAATATTGTAACAATTCTGTATGGTATCAGATGGGTACTAGATCTATTGGGGTGATAGATGAAAGGGGGGCTGGGAGAAGGTGTGAAAGGTGAAGGGTTTAACAAATACAAATTGGTAGTTATAAAATAGTCATGGGGATATAAAGTAAAGCATAGGAAATATAATTAATAATATGGTAATAACTATGTATAGTGCCAGGTGGGTGCTAGTCAGGGGGATCACTTTGTAAATTATATAAATGTTTCACCACTATGATGTACACCTAAAATTAATATAAAATAATATTGAATGTCAACTGCAATTGAAAATTTTAAAAAGAGGGGGAGAATATAAAGGGGAATAAGAGGTTCACAGTTCTAGGTATAAAACAAGTAAGTCATGGGGATGTAATGCACAGCATGGTGAATATAGTCAATAATATTGTGATAGTGTGCTATGGGGTCAGGTGGTTGCTGGACTTAATGGTGATTACTTCTTTAGTATAGAAAATATAATCAATAATATGGTAATAACTATGTATAGTTCTAGGTGGGCACTGTTGAGTAACTATGATGTACACTGAAACTAATAAAATATCATATGTTAGCTATATTTTAATAAAGATCTTAAAACTAAATAAATAAAAACAAGGCCACTTTGCATTGTAATTTGAATTCTTGATTCTCCTTTAAATGCTTTAAATAAGCCAATAAGAACCCACACCCTAAAGAATTTTAGTTGTTCAAGAATGACTTTCTTACAGTATTCTATGAGTTTCTCTTTATTTTCATCTGGTAAGATTCATTATCAACTTCCTTCTCTCTAGACCATAACTGGTCAATAGTATATATTCAAATTCAAAACTAATTCTTTTTTTTTCAAAACTAATTCTTGAATGAATTAATAGCAAAAATGATTTAGATGTTTCTCCTATGAGAGAAACATGAAAAGCCATATTATCAAGCTTTTGCTGCCCCCAAATTAATAAAAAAGGAACCCTATGGGTTTTTACCAGGAATAACATAGTGGTAAATAAATCACTGTATAATCCTATAAATCAGGAAACATGGAATAATCGATATAATGATGCTACTGTAAGTATTCAGTGAGACCATGACACTTACTCAAATAATTTTATTTTCCTGGGACTTTATGGTATGCTTAGCAACACAAATCTAATCCAAGTGTCAAAATCATAATTCAACAGCATTTACCATGAAGGGACACATTGAACCAAGCCACTGACAAACTGAGAACAAGCTACTGAATATGGTATAATAGACAGAAAAAATATAAGCACTGAAATTAATTTATAAGTTTGTGTTTCAAGTAGCATCCTGTAAAATTGCACGTGGGGCAAAATGCTAGAAAAATGTATTGCTTAACCTAGGCTGACTAAAAAAGGAAAGTGATGTTATATTTACTCATATAAATTTTAAATGCCTTTACATTTTAAACTATAAATGCAGCTCCTAAAAATAGTAATGGAAACTACTTTTCACTGTTACCCTTTACTCTCTGTGGAGGAAGGTAGTTAAACTGAAAATAAAGAGCTTTGATTACACTGTAATAGAGCAGTTTGTTGAAAAGTCCTGAGAAGACTAGAAATTAACCTGGGTTTTCTCAAACCCTCTTCCTTATGTCTCTCACTCCCTTTTCCCTATCCTATTAAGCCAACTGCACAAACTACCTCAGTCTCCTGTAGCGTTAACCCTTAAAGTTATTTCCTTCTTCCCTTGTTGGCCTCGCATTTTTACCTGATCACTAAGTGACCAGGCCTCTGCGATGGACACTCTCGTCTCCTACCCAGGAGCAGTGTGATTGGGCTTGGTTTCGTCACAGACGACAAGGCTTGTGAGGGCAGTAGTTAAGTGCCATATTCAGAAAGAAAAAGAAGCACCGAACGTTTTGAAGTAGCATTTTATTATTTCAAGAGATGTAGATGCTCACTTGCTAGGTCATCATCAGCTTCTACAGAACTCCATCAAACTGTGGAGTATTGGGGTGTCATGAACAGAGAGCCACCGCCGGCGGTGCTTTTCCTTTCCTCAGGTAACTCAGAGAAGTTGTCAGAGGCTAGGTGACACATGCTACCTCCGTCATTCACTTGTTTAACAAATATCCCTGGGCACTGTCCTCAGAAAAGCAGAAGCTGAAGCCTCTACATAGGAAATGCTTTGCCTCTACTCTCCTAATTTCAGCATCAATAGGCCTAAAAAAACCTGATAGGCCTAACTTTCTACTACCTAGAGCCCGATATATTAAAAATACATTTATGAACATAAAACTTGCCAAGACTGAATCAAGACTGTATTCTGTTTACACACATATACAATGTGTGTGTGTGTGTGTGTGTGTGTGTGTGTGTGTGTGTGTGTGTGTGTGTGTATATATATATATATATATATATATATATATACACACACACATGTATGTAAATATATCCAAAACACATAAATTCTGTATATACATCTGTATTGTGTAACTCATACACACATATACACACATTCTGTTGTGGAAAGAGCCAGACATGACGGCCCTCCCTGGCTAACTTAAAGGGAAATATAACTTCTCTTAGCAACCAGGCCTGTCTCTGCCATTTGTGATCTTATTCAAATCCTTTTCTAAAAAATCGATGTATATTTCAGGTCTATATTACATCATGGAGTGAAGAGCTTTATGGAGGACACACAAGATAGTTAAAATATATATTTTCTTATCTGTTGACAATGAGATTTAACACACCAATCTATTGTAAGTCTTACCACATGCCTTGAGTACTCCTCATAGATTGATAAACAGAAATGTAGTAGGGTATCTCTTACCATTTGAATCCACAATGGTGATATTGGCAGAGGCACTGTCATTTCCTAATTTGCTGAACACTTTGCACACATATTCTCCAGAATCAGCCAGCGATGCTTTGGAAATGACAAGTTCTGACTTCCTATAAGATCAGGACCAGAGTGGTATAAGTATATGTCACAGAAATACAATGATCATCAAAATCTATTTCTCTATAGTTTCAGGCTTCTCAAACTCTGCCTCCCCCACTCTAAACATACCATGTTAAAACACACCTTAGTAGTATATAGAGGTATGATTTTGCCGAGGAAAGTGAGATATATCGTACTTAACTTATACCATGGATATTTATCACTCACATCAGGAATTTAAAAGAAGTCTTCTCTAATTTTTATTTTTTATTCCTCTACCACCGCCATTCACTACATTAAGCCTTAGATTTTTTTTTCTCAATCCAATTGGTAAATTTTCTTTCCTCTCTACATCTAAATATCACCAGCCACTAGGGTTTAGGAAAATAAAAAAGTGAAAAATGATTTCTTACAAAGCTGTAAGGGCAGATACTTAAGGCTTGAATAGACTAAAATACTCTGCACTTCTTTTCTCAGTAGACTGACATCAGGAATTATGTTAATTTTGAATAAAGAAGCTTTATCACTTCCAAAAGAAAAGGAATTTATCTTTCTTTAATATTCTCATTACTAGGAGCATAGTACCACAAAAATGGTCCTTAAAGTTGAAATAAATATTCATGCAACAACAGCACATACTCTTATACAACTGCATATTAAATCAATATTCAGCACTCTTTTTGAACATGGGCAGCACAGATTTGCATTTGTCTACTATGTTTTACTGTCACACACAGCCTATAATTTAAATCTCTATGATTTAAAAACTCTGAAACACTGGGATTGGCTCAGCATTTACTAAAGCCTTTTAAAAGCATCCTTAAGCCTGATACTGACGGCCTGGGCTCTTGAGAGGAGGACAACACGGGGGGAAAAAGGCAGGAAGCAAAGATATTATATGCAAACCTCCCATAAATTACACCTTCCTAGTTTTTCAGTGAATTTCCTGTGAATATTCAGTGAATTAATAATAATAATATTCAGTGAATATGATTAATCAAGTTAGAGTGATTGTTCCAAATTTAATTCCTATTCTCCTCCAGTCTATCAAATTGAACCACCCACCCAGTCCCACATGTAAGCCTTATGGTCTTCCGTCTTGGAGCTTTTGTTTGTGGCATTTCTTCTTCCTAGAATGGGGGCCCCTTAATTCTAACCATCAAGATAGCAGCTGACCTTTAAGGACAACCTCAGGAGCCAATGCCTTCATCAAGCCTTTCATGATCACGTAGCTAGAGCTGCCCTCTCCTTTGTCTAAATTGTGACAGCCTTAAGTACCTCTCTCATGCTCCTCAGAGTATACCTTTTAGTATATTTTATCTCTCAATCTAGAACAAACACTTCAAAGGGGGAGTCCATAATTTAAACTTCTCAGCATCCTCACAGAATATACATCACTGTTCGTCCTTGGTCCACCTTCAAACATTATTAGATAAATGTGTGAATAAGTGCAGAAAATATTTGGATGTTCCCACTTAAGCTCTCTGCAAGACATAATGTTCCTACTGTTGGCAGTAGGGAAGGAGGATGCACTATTAAGAGGCAGAGGCAGTCAGAGGTGGTCCGGATCAAGGGCAGCAACAGTCAAACCAACATGTGGATTGAGAAATGAACTTCATTCACTGTGACACAGAACGATGTCAACAGGTAAGCTTGAGAAAAGAAACCAAAGTGTGTGATGATCAAATCGGTTTGGAAGACATTAGGTTAAACAAAAACAGGCTTTCTTTCTTTTGTTTTAAAAATCCTATAGGATTTCTCAAGTCTTTAATATGCTAATGTATTCTGACTCTCCGAAGAGGGGAATGTATTATTTAGTTTCTCTCAAACTTATTTGACCATGGAATCCTTGACATTCACATGGCTTCTCTGTTGATATTTAGTGAAAATAATAGTCTACAGAACAAAGTTGATGAACAGTGGACCTAATATAATAACAGCCTTGATTAGGTAATGAGGGGACCCCAGGGCCATTTATACAGGAATATTCACATACTAATCAGAGAGCTTATTCATAGAAAAGTTTCCCTGAAGTATATCTTTATAAACCAAAATAGACCATTTTGGTGACAAACATGTTGGCAAGTATATATTAACATTTAATAATAAAATATAACAACTTTTAAAATGATCAAAATACAACAATATTAGGATATTTACTCCCTGTCAAGTTCTGTTAACATTTAAGCCTGGTTTGGGTTATCGAAATCTAGTGTTTTTTTTAATGGATTATCAGCTATTTATATGCTTTGTTCATACACGTCAAGTTACCTTCATGATAAGACACCTATGAAGAATAGTGAGAAACAATGAAATAAATACTACAATAAGCTTGTCCAGCGCAAAAGAGCATACTTAGCTGAAAGAATTTTCACTTATGACCATGGAACCACTAACAATAATTGATAGATAAATCACGAGGAAAGTCAGGATGGGAAATAACATCCTGGATTTCAACACAACTGAACAAGTGAATTCCTAAAATAAGATAATACTAACGTTTTCCTTGTTAAGCCCCCAATAAACTTATTACAACAACATCCCAAGAATGTACAACACCTCAAGGTCATTATAATTCCAAGAATACCCATTCTTTCCTATTTATATAAATCAAGTAACAGTTTTTGATGATATGTGGAATCCTTTCCTGATCCTGTGCCACTAATATTGTAACTATTGATTGGATCAAGCTATAAGAAGTATGGTAATAAAATTTACAGTTAACGTAATCTTAAAGGGATAGTTCTTAAAATCATTAATTCTCCCAACAGACCTGCACAGTGTTTCCTTGGATATTACTTCAAGTAATGTAAATAAATGTTATGCTTAGAAAAGAGGAAGAAAAAAGACCAATTTCTTATGCTCAAATAAATGTTTCATTAAACAAAGCTAAATAGATTTCTTTACAACAGTACCTCTTAGATGTTTATGCAAACATGTACTGTGAATTTCTAAGGCAGGCATGCCATGTAGCTAAGGAATCCTTTCAGTTAAGAACACCCTTGGGGATTCTAGCTTGAATGTGAATGGTCCAAGACCAAAGTCCAATTTAATCAAGATAAACATAACAAATACATTCAGATTTAACATCAGTAGCAGAAATACAGGCTGGGAGAGATGTGTCTTGACAACAATATATACAGAAAAAAGAATTTCAATTAGCCATGTGTTTAACATTACTCCATTTTAAACAACTATTACAATAAGAAAAAGTGGGGGGAAAGGGACTTATGCACTGTTTGGCTAAATTAACATTAAAACAGAGCATGAATTAAAATGGATACAAGTCTCAATACAGTGCTCATAGCCTGGATCACATCTAGGATGCTGAATTATGTTTTGAAGTGGCATTTGATGAAAACTATCAATAATTAGGGGACTTTCAAAGAAAGTGTTCAAAATTAAATGTGGCCTAGAGAAGATTCTGTTAAAGAAACAGAAGTCCCACTGCCAGGCAGCTATGAACAAGATATAGGGAGTTATTTAAATCTATTTCATGGTTGTCATCTGGAAAAGGAAATTATTTGAGAGGCTCTTGAAGGAGAATGACATGTTACAGGAAAAAGAAGGCATATTTTGGATACTATAAGGAAGAACTTATTGAGAAGTAAAAAATGGATAGGGTGTCTTGTGAAAGAGTTAGGTTTTCTTTTTGGAAAGACTGAAGTTTGGATAACCACCTGTTAAGCATACTCTTAGCAGAGAAAGATTAAATTAGATCGGTGGTTTCAACAACTATTTTTGCAGAAAAAAAAATCCTGTTTAAAAATGAAAGCTTAAGTCAGAGCCTCTTTTTATTATTATTATTATTTTTTAAGATTTTTATTGGGGAATTGGGGGATGGGAACAGCGCTGGGGAATTGAGGGAAGGGGGACAGACAAGTTGCTGTCCTTTTTGTTCTTCAGTCTAGTTGTGGAGGACGTTGCTTCACTGGCCCAAGTTGGCACCATCATTGCGTTCTTCCTGGGTGAGGCAGATCAGTCGCCGGCTTCTGGATGGCCGCTCAAAGCAGCTGCTGGCCACTCACGCTGGCTGCTGGCTACACACGGTAGCCCATGGCAACCCACTGCAGCAGGGGCTGCAGCCTAGCCATCGCTGGCAACTCATGGCAGCCCAGCTCCAGGTTGAGCTGTTGTTCAGCATCTTAGCTGTGGAGGGCAGTGTCACTGGCCCTCATATGTGGGATCCGAACCGGGGCCCTCTGGCATCCCAAGCCAGCTCTTAACCAACGCGCCATTTGGCCGGCCCCAGAGCCTCTTTTTAAAAAAACATGTTACAGAGAGAAAGAATCCATTCAGGTCAAGGTGGTTGGCAACTCTTTCTGCAATTGAATGGAAATTTAAGATACTCCAGGGAAATAATGGGAAAACCACTGATCTAGGTGATCATTTGGGCCCCTTTGGACCCTAAGAATATATTTAACTATGAGACTCTTCAGTCCTTGCGTTCTAGAGTAGAAATAAGAAGTACTGCAGCAAGAGAGAAGAAATAGACAAAGCTCTTTGAAAGTTATATATTGCAGCAATTTGGAGCTTTGATAACTCTAGATGTCTTGTTTTACTCTCAGCAGCCTCCATATACTGTCTTTCTATGGGAAGAAAGTTAATTTGGAAAAATTACTGAAATTCCTTTCCAATCATAAAATTAACTTTTTGCTCTTTAATTGACAAGTTATCCGGGAACTTGGAAGGGGTTGCTATTTTGGTGGATTTTCATTTGCAACAAGTATTAAAAGAGTTCATTTGGGTAAAGTGTTTAAAACAATGCTTGAAATACAGTAAGCTCTCGAACAATATTAACTATTATCATAATTCCATTCTACATTCCTACAATACTTAGATGATTATAATAAGCATGTATTATTTTTGCAATTAGAATAATACAATGTAAAAATATATTAATACAAACTTATTTATAAATAAAAGTTCTAACTATTAATTTCTTTTTTATATTAAAATGCAAACTATGTTCTTTCAATAACTGCTCACTGACAAGATGGATTCAAGTTTCCAACAGCTACTATTTCGTTTTTCTTATTTAACTTGATTCTTCTACTATAGTTTACAGGCCAAGGCAGCTTAAATGCACATTAGGGATCAGTTTACATAGTTCCACTCCTCTGATCTCTAAGGAATCATACATGAAGTGTGTGTGTGTGTGTGTGTGTGTGTGTGTTCAACACAGCTTCAGATACTGCAGAATTTCCAATAATGAGAAGGGTAAAGAAGGGAGAGCGGCTTCATAGGTGATTATTACACTACACAGAACCAGGCACTGCACCAAATGCCTCGCATAAACTATACGAAACAGGCACTGGGTATTCCCATTTTACATGGAAGGAATTTGAGATTTTCTTACATATAAAGTTAAAAAAGACCTGCCAGAGTTGCTCCGCTAAAAAGAGAAGGGAATATGTATAAATGTTTTCTATTATAGAGTGAAAAAAAAAATCTGTAAGAATTAACAACAGGACAGATACTGCTTTATTTATTTATTTTTTAATTTGACGGAACCAAGTAGAGCCAATTTTAAACAAAATTAAAATATGTAAGAGCAAGAATGGAGAACTGAGACAAAATTAAAGGCATGCAAAAGTGTGTGCCATACACAAACAATAGGAAGTCAGCCTTTAATAAGGCCAGTATAGAACAAATCTTTGCATGAGACCAATTTGACAGCCCCAAATATGAATCTGTCACACACCAAGCCCTTTAACCAGTTTTCTTGATCAAACTCATCCACCAGACAAAGGAAGCAAGAACAAAGGAATCAGCAGACACATAACACTGGGGCAGTTTTCATTTATTTTAATTGGTCCCACGTATTGCTTAGCCAAATAAAACAAACAAAGGCTCACGTACGAATTCAAAATTATAGGAAGGACATGTAGGAATGTAGTTTATTAGCAGGAGCAGGGGCATAAGGGAGATAAGGTTTTGCAAAATAATAAAAATTGCATATTGGTGTAAAAGCTTTTCATAACACTAAGGGATTAAAAGGAAATTCTGGCTTCTATGAACAATCTAAATTATAAAATGTGAAAAAGAAACCTAGACTAAGGATTGAAGAGTCAATGTTTTACTTCAATCAAGAGAATCCCAGGGAAATCCTAAACCTCACACTAAAATTCACCTCTGTTTGGTGATCCTGGTCTAAGATCAAGTTCATTGCTTCTCTGCCTTTTGGCTAAGATCAAGTGTAGGAAGATAAAGTTTAAGTCAAGCAACTACAGAACCACTGCAAACAATTAACATTTTGAATATTTTCATAATGAAATATTATAAATATGTAAATGAAACATATATGTTTTTATTAAAGACTTCACTCTAAGCCTAAACCTGTTCCTAGCCCTGGGTTGTGACTTCACTGTAGAAAGCAAGATCACAAGTGGTTGTGTAAACAGACAGGAGACCTGGAGTCAGACCAATTTCAAACCCAGGATTTACCATTCATTAGCATTAGCTCTATAGGAAGAAACTTAACTTCCTCCATTCTCAGGGTCTTAATTTTAAATGGGGATAATAATAATAGTATTCATTCTCTTATATTTATAATTTAACTTGAAACAACAGAGCACACTGCACATGTTAATTACATTTAAATTCAGTTTGGTCCTTTGACTTTAAAAAAAAAAGGTGACAACACTAATTTTTTTTTAAAGATACAACTTCAGGAATGATCGATAATACCCCATTCTGAAACCTGATTAAATTGATCACTCACCTATCAAGTAGCTGCCCACTTTACACAGTGTCTTATTTTCAGAAGATCACTATGTTAAATGTTTCACTAAGAGGAATTTACAGTTACATAATTTGAATAAAGTGTCTCTTTTTTTTTTTCCATTTAATTCTTCCCAGCAAGGCCGTTGTTTAAAAGAAGCAATTTCTGAATATTGGCCTTTCCAGTACAATGGGATTTTATTAATATGGAGACAATGCTCTTAGCTATCTGGACCTACGGAGACAATGTAAAAATGCTTTTCTGAATACTAATGATACATTTATGTGTCATCCAAACCATGCAACAAATTATCTCTTTAAGTGAAGATGCGCTCTTTCAAAACCATGTTTATTCTAAGCAGCTCACTTCTTGTTTGTTTGTTTGTTCCTTATTTTCACCTTATCTACCCAACTTCATTCGCTTCTCTCCAGGCATCCTCAGACTGCAGATGTTTGTTCTGCTCCTGCAGCCTAGATAAACCTCTCCTCCCTCCCGCCCTCCCGTTCTTTCTAGGAGGCCGCCACAGGCCCTGACTGGGTCCCCTCCCCCATCCGTGTTAGCCTTTTTCTATAGCATCCCATGATTATCATTATTGTACAATTTGAAACTGAGTATTATAACTGTTTACCTTTCTCTCCCCTCTGGAGGGCAGGGAGAATGTCATGCTCACCACTGTGTATCCAGCATCTAGCCTCCAGCCTGACACACAGCAGCTTGTCCAATAAAGGGCAAAGTTTCCCATCCACCCGCCCACTGCCCCAACCTGTCTGGCCTCTTTTACCAGGGCCTGCTCCTGACTGTGATTTCTGCTCTTCTCTATAACTGCCCACCCCACTTCACTCACCCAGCCAGAGGGGATTCTCTGCCTTCAGCAAAATCAAATCCAGCCCCTCAGAGCTAATGCGGAAGTTCTCAGGGTCTCCTCCTCTTTTCAACACCCATGTCACTCAGTGTCAGTAACTTCCAATTTAGCACTTAGTTTTATTGCCTGATAGACAGGCTAGATATTTCATTTCCATAATTAAATCTTGACATGATAAAGTAGAATTTACCTCAGTTAACTAATAAGTTTCTAAAAGACCATTATTTTGAAGCTCCCAGACCAACAATGTTTCAGCACATGATCTATGGAATTCCTATATTTTATAGAAGTCTGAAGTAGACAATCTCTATGCAATCTTCTGACCCCTTGGTGTAAAGATAACACCCTATGATTCTTCTATTTCTCCACACTCCTAGTATAAACCCTTTCATGGGACTTAAAATATTATTGATATCATTTGACAGCCACATAGAAATGTATGCAACATTATCCTACATGTGCAGATAAGCTGATTTCTTACTAGCAGGTCTAATTGATAAAAAAACAAAATGTACGCTAAAATCTATCTAAAAGTATTTTTTCTTGTTAAACTTCTCTGTAAGAATTGTACTTATTTTTTTCAATTCGCTCACTCTATCTCCTCTGTGCCCTACATGTACACATTATTAAACATGAATGTTTTCCATTTTTAAAGATGGAAGGGGGCATCCAGGAATCCAAGAAATAGATTGCTGTTCCAGCTTAATCTTACTATAGTTGCGTGATTCAAAGCAAGACATAACACTTTTTTGATCACTGATTTCTTAATCCACAAAATTAGATAGTTACCACATGCAGTTCAACTGCCCTTACTACCTATAGGAATGTTGTAAAAAAAAAAAAAGTTATGTTTAAAAACATAATGTCACTTTACAGTATTATTTTTTGTATCTTTGAAGTACCACCTGTTGCAGAAAGTAATACCCGTGCTTTCCCTCACACTTTATTATACTTCCAAATCAAGAGATCTTGCTGATACAATCAATAACAAGAATATGCAAGGTAGTTAATGAAATAAATGGGGAGAAATAATCCCTAATTATGGTTATTATAGCAATTAAACAATTTGGCAAGATTAAACTAAATTTCCTTTGCAATCACTCTGCTTTCTCTTGCTCATAAGTGTGTGACAACTTTTTGGTAGATGTCTTATAAAATCAAATACAGGAGGGAGGTTCTTTTGTTGTTGCTTCTGTTATCATACCTAGGATTTTGCTGGAATCCTTTGGAGTGGGAGAAAAGAAAATGTAATCTTTGAGCTTGGAACCACTCACTACTCAACATGTCACATTTACTGAAGGACTGTTTCCATGCAAAAATCCAAAATATTTCTCTCTTCCCTAATTTCAGAATGTAATTTGATATTAGAAGAAAAATTTCTTAAGGAAATAATATGAAGTGTAGAGCGATAATAAAGCAGCATCATTTTATGGTAGGTACAGAACATACCTACCAAGACGTTATAGGAATCACATAAAGCCCTTCCAAATATAGACCTTTAAAAAGAGGGCAGGGAAATTTAAGATTCTTGCTACCCAGGATTACCTGGTTTTTAATCTGCTATTGTGGTGATGTAGTGTAATAGACTTGTCAGTTAAAAATTCTTATCAGAATTTTAGCTTCTTCCTTGAATATAGTTCAAATTCAACTGATTACATTCTACCTTTCCATAAATCTAGGGATTGATTGAGCTTTATGTTGAAGTTGGGATTTTGATTGTGTAAGGCACTGATACTCTAACCAGCATTTGTCTTATTTTGAAAAAAACTAGATTTTAGGATCTAACCTATTACTACTGCAATAGCTACCATTAATGCTGTCTTCCTTCATCCCTGTCTCCCTCTCCCCACCCTCCGGCTCTTTCCACATCCATCCTTTCCTTCCCTCATCCAGAAGGTGTAAGAATCAGCAACTTCAAATTCTTGTTTACATAAGGACACCATTTCTGGTTATGATACAATGAAAACTCTTTTCATTTATTGTATATCATATGTCTCAATAGTATATTTATTAGGCTGTAAGCAGTTTTATATTTCACATCATTCTCTTGCTAGGCATTGCCTCTGCTGTTACATGCATTAACTTACCCAGGTTTTTTTTGTATCTTGATGTTTTCTGGTCTGTTCTTTCGTTTCAATTCACTCCCATTCTTGAACCATTTGAATCTGAGAGGGGAATATTCAGAGCTGGTCTCACACCGAAGCACTAGTTTAGAGCCTGCGACGGACTCCTGGCTTTTCATCTCCTTCAATCTCAGAGGCAAGGCTGAAAAGAGAAAGAAACAAGTTTTGATCACCTGGTAATCTTTCAAAGAGAAACATTAATTTTGGTGGAGACTGATCAAGACCCCAAAGGTTTTACTATCTGATAAATAAAAATAAGGGTTTGGGGGGAGTCAGCCAAAATGTATCTCAACTTTGAGAAGAACAAAATACCTAAATAAAATGTACGAGGGGGTAATAAAAGAACCTAGATTATAAAATTATTTTCTAAAAAATATTCTAGTGGTTACTTCCTCAATCATTACATTCTCTCATACCATTAAAAATCCTGAACAGCGGTCATTTCAAAGAACTGAAACCTATGCTGAAGGAGACAGTATGTAACTTGGCTATTATTTCTAAAGCATGTTCTCATCCCAGATCACAATGGATGTTCATCACAGAATAGATATAACAGGCATCATACCTGTTTTTTTTAAATGGGGAAGTTTAATTTCAGCGACAGGTAAGTGACTGACTTCTCCATGGTTAAAACATTCTGGAACGTCAGAATTAGACTACTCTATCAGAGGTGGCTCAAACAACAAAGAGAGCTCCTAAATTTTAACAATGCTCCTTTCCTCAACACAGAAATTCTTTGGCAATATCACTCTTTTATTGGACCTACAGTTGCTATCCCTTTAGACAACATAAAACCATTCCGGATGACTACCACAGTCATATCAAATTATCAATTTGATTAGACAAAGCTCTTCTAAATCTTCTCAACAGAGACTAAGAGTACTTAAACTGTGCATTAACTTAAGAGAATACTACACATCAAACACATATATACCATTCTTATTTTAAGGAGGACTGCTTAAAAGAGTATCTATTCCCTACTGAAATATGTATGGACGAAAATGTTATAATATCTGAGATTTGCTTGAAAATAAAATGGTGGTGGGAAATGGACAGGCACAAAAATGAAACAAATTTCCCAAGCAGTTGATCATTGTAAAAGTTAAGCAACAGGTACATGGTGGTATATTAAATAATTCTATAGAGTATTTCCAAATTTTTCAAAATAAAAGTTTTTTTTAAAAAAACATAGTGAATGGATTTTCTTCTGCACAAAAAACTTCACTTAATATCACAGAACCTGAGATCTCAACAATTTTGTTTCCACTGAGGCTTAGAAAAGCCAACTACAAAGTCTACTTCTGCTCCAGCTCAGAAATTAACAGCAAATCTGAGGGGGGAAAAAAAACCCAAAAAACAGGCAAGTGAGACTGTACCTCCCTGATCAAGTGCGCAGTTATTCACTGGGTATGGCCATCAAAACTCCAAGGACAGCAATCAGGGAGCCACATTAAACACGAACAGAAAATGGAGTACCTTTCCTACTTGGGGTATGTTTGTTTTTCTACAATGCTGCCCTTACCAAGTAAATCAAGAAAATGTCAGGAATGAGTGAATAAAGGTTTCAACAAATTATAGAAAAAAAAACATTTAAATGCTGTGATTTCTCAGCAGTGCTCCTACAATTACATGCACCTCTTTTTATTTATTTGGAGGCTGGGAGATGAGGAGGAGCATCAGGCACTCGTATGGGGACACAGTAGCAAGTTAGAAAACGTATTTTAGCTGTTCTCAGCCTTTGATACCTGACAGTTTTGTCTGACAGCTTGAAAATAAGATTTACTTCCTGAACAGCTTTCATAGGCGTCTTCGTTTTAAGATGTGGTTCATGAATCTCTGTTTTGGAGGTTTTTAAAAACAGACTAAATTCTCATCAATCCGGAATAGTGTCTGTATATTCCTATTAACTCTTTAAGATCGTTTTCAATTTTGTCAGCCCAGTGAAGGGTTTTAAAGAAACAAATTTGGTGGAAGCTAAATGGCACCAAAGAAACTAGCTTACACGTATTCTGAAAACTAAGTCGCCTCGCTATTTTATGTAGAGACTACAGGAACTAATTTGAATTTTTGTTTTGTTTTGTTTGCACTGGATCTTACATTTAACTTGGCATACAGTTAACAACCCAAACTCTCAAAGTTTATCCCCTTGCCTCTAAGCAAAATGTTCTAAACATAATACAAGATATCCTTAACTCTTAATAAGCACCATGTTTCCTTACCCACCACTCTGCACATGTGCTTGTCAATATAATCTGAATACAAATCTACAAGACTTTGTTTTCTTTAGTTTGAATAAACACTTTTCACACCTTTTGCATCTTTTTCCTTCCTTTTTTCTTGTTCCCTCCCCCCACACTCCTGTCTTCATTTATTTATTTCCTATTTCCTTGTTAACACTCTTAATTTCAAATGTGAGAAAACATTCAAACAAATTCAAATTGAGGGATATTCTATAAAACAACTGGTCTCGGCTTCAAAATGTCAAAGTCATGAACAACAAAAGAAGAATGTAAAACTGATCTAGATTAAGGAGATTAAAAAGATATGATAAAAAATGCAATGTGTAGCTATGAATTGAATCTTGCTTCATGAAAAAAAGCAGTTATAAAGGACATTATTGGGACTACTTGGAAAATCTGAATAAAGGTATCAAAATTCAATTTCTCAAGTGTGATCACTGTGTTGCGGTGATGCAGAAAAATGTCCTGTTCTTTGGTGGTATCTACTGATGTCATGATGTCTACAACTAAATTTCAAATGATTCAGCAAGTGAGGAAATACATGCATACATACACGCACACACACAGAGAAAGAAAAAAAACGAGTCTTGGTTTCTCTTTTTTTCCTGCCTTTTTCTTCTGTTTTTTTTTTTTTTTTTTTTTTGCTGTTAAATAAAAGGCTCCAGCTTACAGTAAGTACTTTTCAAGTCTTGGTTAAGTTTGCAGTCATGAAGGAGATTCTTGGGACTATTTGCATCATAATTTACCAACAGAGCTCTTAAAACTATAGCTCCACTGAAAAATCTCTGAGTGGTATGGCACTAAAATCCTCTTATGATTCAACCTCATTAACCATGACTTTGGGGTCCAATCCCACTAGGTCCTTTGGTGGGAGAGAAAAAAAAAATCACTCATCTGGCAGGTCAATATCCTTTCCTATGGGGGTTGTTCATGTGCAAAGACCGGTACGTCCTTTGTCATTAGCGATGATCTGTGATGGAATGAGGCAGAGACCTTCCGGTATAAGGTGTAGCTTAGCTAAAATAGCCACTCCTTAAACAGACCCTGATGCATAAGCGTTTCTTGATTTTGGGAGTTCGGGTATACATCTACTGACTGCTTGAGTCTCTCTCTCTTGCACACAGTTTCACGTCTGTTAGAAGTGCAGAAGCTCAGCTACTCTGAATTCGCCTCCCTAGAAGTCCACTTGTAATAATATCCCTGCTGTGTCCTTCAGGGAAACCATCTATGACACAAGGACAACCAGCTTTTCAGGTAACAGCTCTTTTAAGGAGTTAACTCAAAATCTTCCATGGCATAAATGCAGAAATAAATCTATGCACCACATAGATTTGAGCCACACAACTACATCCTTGGCCCATGGGTGTTTCTGCTATCAGTGGTACCTTTGAGAGAAGTACCATACAAAGCTCCTCACACCTTTCTGGTGGAGCCCAATTCAAGGATCCTGGAGACTTGGCAAAAACTTGAATTCTTCTTTGTCTTCTCATATAACCACACTAATGGAATAGCCCTGGATATTTCACAGATTCTTGACAAAAATGCAAACTAATATTGAACATATGGTTTGCATGGTTTTTCTCATCAATCCATAATGAGATGATGTTTAATAGAGCACATTTTTTTCATTAGATCATAAAATAATAACTATGTTAATGGAAAAGGTTTTTAAAGCGTACTCATACAGGTTTCTCAGATATACGGTTTACTTACATGAAATAATGTCATTTATTTCATGGGAAAAAAATCTAACTACTGTCTCAAGTACTTTCTAATACTCAGGTTTAACTTTAGAAGGCCAGGGTCATGCCTAAACTTAAGGTCACCTTTTTTACACTAAGTACTTGTATCTTAAAACTGCAAAAAATATTTTACCTGACATTCAATTCTTGTCTAAGAGTAAATGGTCTGTTAATTAAAAATTGGTTGAAGGCAAACACAATGCAAAGTGAATGCTCAAATGCAGTAAGTGCTCTGAGAATCTTTGGCATGATTTAATTGTAGTTGGTCTACCACAGTTCAAAATTTTGCTTTCAGTATGTTTCTGGAGATGCAGTAGTTCCACACCCTGAAATAATTTAATGATAGAGCAAGTTTTAAGCAGCCTTTGCCTAAATCTATTTCCAACTTGCTTGACACTAATATGAACGTATCCGCACCCTTCAAAATGCATCGACAGAGACAGACAGTAAAGTGCAAAGAGGAGCAGCCTTTTAAAATAGAAACTAAAAACCCTGAGAGCAAAGCCCCACATTTTACAGGCACTTCTTTTTACAGGCTTTAAGTGTTTTAAATGCTTTTAAAAGATCACAAGCATACTCTTTGACTCTACCTCAATGCAAAGAGGTATACTAAGTATACTTAAAACATTTATTTTTGCACTTTTATCTTTCTTAGTTGATATGTTACACAACGTAGAAAACAATCATGGCAATAATCCAAAATTATTTATTTTACATTCTGACCACACAAAAATTTAAGGCAATATCTCCTTATTCCAATAATTTAATGTGTGAATAAATATTCCTGATAAAGGTGAAATAAATGTGCATAATGAACCATTCATCTAAGCAATCCTCTTGTTTTAATTGTCTCCTATGCACTTATTTTTTAAATCTATTCAGTGCGGTGATATCAAATATTGTACTGTATTGTTAAGAACAGGAAACAAATTTTAGCATGTGTATGCCACGAGATACGCTGATAGCATGTGACACTAGATAAGTCGTGGTTTCTGTTCTTTAAAAGATCTGACAATGCAAAGTTAGCTCATATCATTACTCTCCGTGTTTGACTGCAGCTAATCTGAAGAGCCTGAACACATTGAACAAATTAAACAGGAAACCTGCAAAATATTATCAAATAACTGTGAGCTTTCCACTGTGATCCCAGTGAAGCCTTC